AGCTTTCCTCCCCTGGCACGTTGCTAGTCACGTGGTAGACCCCCTTGGAGGAGAAACAGGGGTCAAAGAGTGGCCCCTGGACAACCACTTCCTGAGCATTAACCTCCAGAGATAACATCTAGGCCTCGGTTGTGTTTCAGCTCCAGGCCCAGACAAGCAGCAAAACCAGATTAGCAATGCCATGGCAGAGACCAGCTGCATTGACCAATGACTCCCTGCCCTGGGACCGACCAATCAGTGGAGACCACGGCCCTGGAAGGACACACCTGGAAACCGGATGAATATTCTATTAAGATCCTCCCCTGAAACCTCCTCTAAAATTCCCACCCTGAAAAGCCCTAGGACAGAGAACCCTGTGCACTCTTCCTCTTTGAAGTATGCCAGAGCCCTCCCCGCCCCTCCCATTCCCCCCAAGCGTGTTACCTTTACCCTTCTCTTTCCTAAGCTCCAAGGGCCCCTTCTTTGCCTCTATAGCTTGCTTCCTAAACCCATTTCTTTTATGACTCACTCCTCCACCCCTGTGTCTTTCTAAATAAAGTTTCGCTTACAGTTTGAGTCTTGACTTTGAATTCTTTCTTAGCCAGAACTCAGGTACGAAGGTGCGGAACCAAAGTCGGATCTGACTCCACCAGCCTAACACCTGGTGCCATTATCACTGCCAACAAAACGATGCCTCTCATCACTAAATTGTTTTGGAAAATATAGTTTTGTTTTGTTGTTTCACAAAAATAGTATTCATGCTAGCATGTAAGAATTTATTTTTAAATAATTTTAATAATCAAATGGTTAAATAAATTCTTAATTACATATAATAGCTAAAATAAAAATCTAATTAAATAATTAAGTAAATTTTAAATAAATTAATGCCTGTATAACTTCTCAGTTCTAATGTCTAAAATTGTGTTATTAATAAATGTAACCCACATAAACTAATGCTTTTTGGGTCCTCAGTAATTTCTAAGAGTGGAAAGAGGTCCTCAGATTAAAAAGTCTGAGACGGCCCTAACTGGTTTGGCTCAGTGTATAGAGCGTCGACCTACGGACTGAAGGGTCCCAGGTTCGATTCCAATCAAGAGCATGCACCTTGGTTGTGGCACATCCCCAGTAGGGGGTGTGCAGGAGATGGCTGATCGGTTTCTCCATCATCGATGTTTCTAACTCTCTATCCCTCTCCCTTCCTCTTTGTAAAAAAAAAATCAATAAATATATATATATTTTTTTTTTTTTAATTTTTTTTTTTAAAGAGTCTGAGATGCTGCCCCAATGCATTTTGATCATGGAAGCCTTTCTCTGGAGAACACCTTGAGTATGTCCTATGGAACACACAATAGGAAACACAAAACACAATCTCATGCTGTGCTTATGAAATTATTTCTTTATGTGCCTCTTCTCCTTAGACATCCCTCAGTAAATTAACTGAAATTCTAATCAACGAGTTTCCTCTCAAACAGTAGTTTTGTGCTCATGACCCTGGCAGTTGATGCATATACCTCCTCTGACAAACACAGTTGATGCTGACCTCACCCACTTAGAAGAGGTATTAACCTGGAGAATTATTCACTGAGCAAATATTACAAATAATCCGGAGAACTTATGACACAGGTGAACATATAACCCTCTGTTATAAGATAACCCTCCAGATAACCCTCTGTTATGAGATACTGTGTCAGGGATATCCCAAAATCATAAGAAATATGACCCCTGTTAGAAACACGGCCAGTTTCGTGTAGCATTCCGTTCCCAACAACAGAAGCACTGATTGAAGTACCGATGTTACAAATTACCCTTTTTATAAAATGAGCAGGATGGCAGCAATTTACTACTCCAAGTACTGACAATTTGTATTTGCAAAATATTGTACACAAGCCAAACATAATTTAGGAATTAATTCATACTTCTGCCATGCTTTTTAGAATACGTAGGGGTAAGGTCAATTCTCTGCTTTTTGGCAAGACTGGAAGTCCCAATTACAAATTGAGTTATGAATCTCTTCTTCCTGTCAGGTGTCTGAATGACTGCCCAGAAGCCCTATTCTTAGATGGCTCTGAAAGATTTGGGGGAAAATGTCAAAAGTGTAAAGTGCTGAACAACTCTTCTCTCCCAGAGGAAACTCACTCCTTATATAGAGCTGGCCTGGAGCACAGGCTGCTCCATTCTCTCATTTTCCTCCTGGAATCGGCCCAAATAGCAGAAACCATTAAGTTTATTTATGCAGCTCTGTAAGTGTCTAGTGTATAAAAGCTTGCTTAAGTTTTTTTTTTAAAAGATGACCAGGATCTCACCCTGAAAGCGGAAGGCCCTCATCTTGATCTCCTTTTTTCTGTGACCGGGGACTTGAAATTAAATTAGCCTCTAATTGGCTTCCAATAAAACTTTCTTTGAGGAAAACTGTTTTAGAGCCAAACATGCTTAGTAAACTTCAGATCCTGTTCTACTCATTTAATCCTCGAGGCAACTCTATGAGCTGGAGACTGTAATTATCCCCGTTTTACAGATGAGGAAACAGGCTCAGTGCCTGAGGCCATGTAGTTTATAAGCGGCAAACAGGACTAAGGAAATGAAGTGGAGTCACCCCAGTTAAGCTGCTCCTCTTGTTTTAACTAGCCTGGAAACTAAAACTTTTGAACTCTTCAGCCCTGTGTCAATGCCTGAAAGTACAAACCTCCAGACAATCCTCTGATTGCCCCTGAAGGTCTAAGGCAGTGGTCCGCAAACTGCAGCTCTCCAGCCGTGGTTTGACACTGGGTTGACTAATGAGTTTGTTGACCACTGGTCTAAGGAAAGCATGGTCATGTACTCAGACTGCTGACAGCAGTACCTAGACCACCAACCCTCTAAAGCACATGTGTCAAACACAAGGCCCGCGGGCCAAATCCGTCCCGCCAGGCCTTGCAATGTGGCCCGCACCGCGCTGTCATCACTGCACTCCGCTGCGTTTCCATCACAATGACAGTTTATGACTGTTCAGTAAACCATTCGGCCCGCGATTTAGGCTGGATTTTAGATTTTGGCCCCTTCTCTGATTGAGTTCGACACCCCTACTCTAAAGACTGAGCCTCACAGCCCAATGCAGAGGCCAGGCATGTAGGACTGATTCTTCTCAAGAACATACTTTTTACCATAAGTACCCCCATTTTTCTTTCTTCTGCAGAACACTGTAGGTACTGCCTAGGAGTGTTTCTGGTCTGCAAGCCTTAAGACCTTGAATAAATCTTTTTCATTTATTCCTAGCCAAAGCCTCCTGATTCACTGACTCTTAGTGGACAACTGGAATCCAGGAACCTCCAAACCAGGATGCCGCCCTACCGGTTTGAGACACGTGAATAGTAACATGAAATTACTTACCATAAGAAGATTCCCATTTTCAAGGGGGAAATAGAGGGTTTAAGCTCCAGATTAGCCTTTATTGCAAAAACACTTCCTGACACTCTGCTGTGGTAGGCTCCGTCCTCTGTCTTCCCCATCACACCACAACCACATGGCATTTACCTGTTGAGGCGTCTGCCTTCCTTCTAGCCTGTACTAATATCCTCTCCCATGGTATCTGGAGCAGCAATCACTGAATGAATGAGTAAAAGAACCAAGGAATGATCAAACACAAGTGAATCTCCACAAATCTACTTATTCTCCAAAAACATGAATTTCCAAATGAGCTCTGTGCATCCTGGAAGATAAGCAAAACACCCCATGGGATGCAGGGAGACCCCTGAGCAGTGCTGCTTCCATTCACTGACATTGACCTGGTGGATTGATACTGGCACCCGCACTGATGCCTGTGGCAGACAGCACATAGGGCCCTCGGCTCACTGGGGCCCTCACCTGTTTGCTTTCCAGTGTCTGTACCAAGTTGTAGCTGACCTGGGCCCACCTGAGAAAGTGGCTATAGGGATTATATTTTCAGCATTTTCTGAAGTAACCCTCACAGGATGGGCATGAAACGAGTTTTACACAGAATGGCAAAACATACCAACAACAATGGAAGCACGAAAGAACAGGAAAATGGTAGAACTGATGGCATTTTTTCCATTTCTCATATAATATTTTTCTCAGGCATACCATGAGATATAACCACAGCAAGCTAATTAGATCTGACACAAAGTTGGAAAAAAAAAAAAAGTTTTTTTTTTTCCAAGACAAAACGACAACAAAACACCCACTCTGGAAGTATCAAAACTTAAGATTCATATCCGCTATCCTTGTGGTCCTTGCCTAAGTGAGCATCATGCCTTGGGAAACTTGCTAATAATGTTCTCACACAGTTCAAAGAGGCCTGATGCATGAAGATTCGTGCAAGAATAGGCCTTCCTTCCCCTGGCTGCCAGCACCGCCTTTGCTCCCACTCAGAGTCACCTTTCGCCTTCACTCGGGCTAGAACCACCTTCTGCCTCTCGCCTTATCACGTCAATTTACATATTCCCTCCTTATTGGCTGTGGGTGTCACTGTCTTTTGTCACAGAGTTACGGTCAATTTGCATATTGTGTCTTTATTAGATAGGATATATGTTTTTAACAGCATAAAAAGTGGGGAGCTCACTAATCTAGAACTTGGCTACTCAAAGCCAACCTGCAGAGCAGCCACTCAGCATCACCTGGCCATGGGCGAGAAATGTAGTCTCAGGCGCCACCATAGACCTACTGAACCAGCCTTTGCCCTTTACCAGGATCCCAGCCGATTCACACGCATGTTTTTGTTTGAGTAGCTCAGCTTTAGAATACACTTCTTCAATGATCTCAATCCCAAAAGTTCAGCACTCATTGATAAGTTTAGGCAGATTTCTCTTTGGCATGTGTTACCTCATAAACGTATCATTTCCAACATGTGATATAAAGTGTTCTATATAAAGAAACTACCCCCATACACCAAAACTCCAATGAAATACTACGCATGTAACTGCAGCATTATCTGGGACGCCAGGATACATAAAATGAACGCTTAGGCTCCCGTAAGGTAAAAGCCATCCTGCCACACCTTAACAGCTCTGATGCCCACCTCTACTTACTTTTGTTTGGTCATCAGCTTTGAACACGTAGCAGATACTCCGCCTACTGGCCGCATCGTCCTTAATCAGACAGGCGAAGTAGCTGGGGTCGTGGCTGTTGTGGATCAGTTTGTGAGCGTGCTGAGGCTTACACTCGAAGATGCTGGAACAGATCAGCGGGTCCCACTGCTGCGTTTTCTCTGGCTCGGGTTCACACCTCAGTCCGGAGGGCGAGACACAAAGCCGGACTTGCTTGGTACCGGGTTCCCTTTTGGAGGACTGCCCGCTGAGCCGGCGCACCTCTGCCACGACCCAGGGCAGCATGGGCATGGTGGTCAGGGAATGCACAGGCAAGGAGCCCACCAGCTGGAGGCTGAAGGCCACCCAGGCCTCATTAGGGAACGGGTGCTTCCTCGCCGTGAATGTGATTGGTTCCATCTTGGGAAAGGTCTGGAAACTCAGCGACACGTTCCCACGCTTCTTGAAGGCAGACCCAGCAACCTAATTGGCCTGCTCCTGGTGCAGAAGCCTGGGGGAGAAACAGAGGCATTCGAATTTAATGAAGTCGCAGCAAAAGCTACTTTCAAAGAGTGATTACTAGTACTTCAGAAGAACTTAAAACCCAACGTGAGCTGGTGAACCCACAAAGCAATACACAGTTGGTGCATTGTATAGAGTTGTACACCTCAAACCTATATAATTTTATTAACCAATGTCACCCCAACAAATTCAATGTTAAAAGCCTGAACCCCAAACATAGGAAGAAATGGATATTTGTTCAAATACGCTGCTCTGTGGAGACAGAGCATTCTTAAGATTGCATTTCATATAAAATCTGAAGGTGCCCTAAATGTTACACGGACGGTGGGTTACAAAGATCCCACTGTAAACTCCTATTAAAGTTAAGCTTCACAGAGCCCACAAAGGCAGGCACTGTGAAAAGCAACATAACGCTCCCAGGACAGCCTGAAACCCTGTCATGTTATTTAACATATGCTCCAAGGAGTTTTTGTGTGTGTGTGTTTTTTTTAAAGATAATCATATTCAGTCCTGCTAGCACCTCACAAAAGAAAAAAATATATATCAGCTATCCATTATCGTAGTCTGTTGAACCAGAACGGTTTTAACACCTTATCTACTGCTTATGATACTACTTAAAGTATAAAAGTCTCTCCCTGGCATAGTTCAGAGATTCTGAATCACAAACTCAAATTCTAATAACAGGTACTTAGTGCCCATTATATTCCAAACACTGTCATAAATAGCATTTTGTTTCATTCATGTAAGCCTCTACAGCACCTCAAGCCCTATTCTCTACTCATTTGCCCCTGGACATTCTCCCGTGTATTTCCTGAGCATGTACCCACATGCTGAGGGGGAACTCGATAAAGACAGGGGTCACATCTATCTGTTTCACCATTCTATCCCTGGTGCCTGGCACAGAGCCTGACTCAGAATAGGTTCAATAAATATGTTAAAGTAGTGAATGAAGACTCTTCCATCCTAAAAATAAAGATGTTTCCCCTTGACCTCAAACCTCCCCCAGTCATAACCCATCCTTCTCTGCACAAATTTCTTCAAGATGAAATCTACACAGTCTCCACTTTCCAGTGTCCATCCACAACCTGGACTGTGTCTAGGAGCACCAAGGAGCAATTGCTCCTGGTAAGGTCACCCACATGCTCTGGTTGTGAAATCCAAAGGAAGCTTTTTATTAATAGTTCGTAACTGTCTTGTCCTTTCTGGTGAGTCTCTCAATGTTGACCACTCCCCTTCCTGCTTAAAAGTTGTGGTTCTCTCTCTTAACCTCCCTGGGTTTCTTCTTTCCAGATTCTGTGATGACTTTCCTGATTTCTCTCATTCTACCTGAATTCTCTTGGTTGTTGGCACCTAATATCTTGGTGTCGACAACCACATTCCAATAATCCTGCTGCTGCTACTGCTACTAACAACATATTTATTAAGTACCGGCGCTCTGCATGTGTTATTTCATCTCCATAACACCCTTCACCTCCGATCCTAGTCTCAGTGAGTGAGAGACTACTATTATTGCCACTTTTACAACCTAGGAAACTGAGGCTTAGAGAGCCTGAGTCATTTGTCACAGGTGGAGTGAGAGTCTACACCGCATTCTCAACCTCTCCTCTTGAGTGTTGTACAAAATGCATCTACTGAACACACCCTGAGGATTCCCAGTGTTCATCCCCCATTGAACCTCAAAGAATTCCAGATCAGTACAAGCCAGTAAATAGTTCCATCTGGGTAGCCTATAGGCACCTCAGTCTCAACTTAGTTATTTTAAAACTAACTCAGTCTTTCCTCTCCCCTTTCTCCTTCCCAAAACTTCTCTTCCTTCCTATAAGTTATATCCTGTGACCAGCATCCATGTTTATTTTATTGACTAAGCCACAGCCAAGGAGTTATTGCAATCCTCTCTCCCCAAACTCATATGTTGAAATCCTAATTTTCTATGTGCTCATTTTAGAAGGTTGGGTCTTTCTGTGGTGATTAGGTCATGAGGGCAGCACCCCCATGAATGGAATTAGTGCCCTTATAACAGAGACCCAGACAGCTCTTTTGTCCCTTCTACCAAGTGGGGGTACAGAAAAAAAGATGGCATGAACCAGGAATGGGCCATCACCAGACACCGAATCTGCCAGCACCTTGATCTTGAACTTCCCAGCCTCCAGAACTGTGAGAAATAAATTTCTGTTGTTTATAAACCACCAACTCTACAGTATGCCCTTATAGACTAAGATAAATCATTCAGATCCCTTCTTTACCTACCACTCCTTTTCAACTGGCTCTACATTTAAATATGTCTTATCTTTTCTCAACTGGAATAAAAGAGCCCCAACCTTCAATCCATCCTAAAGTAATTTAACAAACACACAAAACTGATTATGTCACTCCTCTGCTAAAAATTTCTTAATAATTGCCCCATAACATCTAAAGTCTTCTACATGGTATATAAGGTCTCTTTGGAATATGGTCCAACTATATGCTCCCCTCTAGCACCCTCCTTCATGGACCTTTTGGCTCTGAAGACAGAGTACTATCAATAGTTATGGTCCCCCATGGGGAGGTGATTTCTCCTGCCACTGTGCCATAGTGCTTACTGTTCTTCCCTCCCAGGAACACAACTCCTGCCACAAATGGTAAAGGCTCTGAGATCTTACCAATTAGCTGCCAATTAGCCTTCTGGTAGGAGACATGAGACTCCTGGGTTTGAGACAAAGAACAAGTATCTCTCAGAGCAACAGCAGCCAGAGAGAGTCATATGCGTGTTAGTTCCCTAACCCACAATTCCCATAAGCCAGGCAACTCCTGCATCCACACTGGGTTACCGGAGCTATGGGAGCCCAAATATTTTATAATGGGCAGTAGCATGTCTGTCCTTTACTCCAGAGGGAGACACTAAGTCTATTTTCCATGGCTGATTGCTATTTAAAAGACTGGAAAGTTACTTCAGAACAAAGGCAGGTTGTGCTTCTGCTCACAACATGTGACACATGTAGAAACATGAGACACATGCAGAATCATCTCCCAGTGATTCCTACTCTTGCCCTCTAAATTAATTCCAACACACGTTTAAGTCTAGGTCAAGCAAGGACCACCTCTTTCTTGCAAGGTGATTTGGGAAATCTGTCACCACAACCTTTTGCACTTTGTATCTACTCATCGCCTTTACTTTAAAAGAGTTTGACTCAGTGGATTGACTCAGTGGATAGAGCGTCGGCCTTTGGACTGAAAGGTCCCAGGTTTGATTCCGGTCAAGGGCATGTACCTTGGTTGCGGGCACATCCCCAGTAGGGGGTGTGCAAGAGGCAGCTGATCAATGTTTCTCTCTCATCGATGTTTCTAACTCTCTATCCTTCTCTCTTCTCTGTAAAAAATCAATAATATATATACATATATATATATATATATATATATATATATATATTTTTTTTTTTTTTTTTAAGAGTTTGAAGAGGTATCCCTCAACAAAGCTGAAAGCTTCTTAAATTCTTCATGTTTGGGATTTCTAAAACCTTTTCTGAACTAGAACAGAAGTCTCTTCTTTTTACTCTATGTTTTTCTATATAATATTTATGCATATATGCTGGGTGAATTTTTACAATATACTTTGAACATAGCTTAGAGCAGTATTTTTCTTTTAAATGTTCAAAAATTCAAAAATAAGCCCCTATTTAATTTAGAGTTTCAACATATTTCATTCCCTGTCTCTTTTCCTTTAAACTTTAAAGTTTAAAGTATAGCTTCTCTTGATGATGAGAACAGACTTGAAGTTCATATAACCCCACAAATAATGGTCTCACCTTTTTCCTCTCTCTAACCTACAGGTGAAAGTAGCATTAAATGTCTGAGTCAGTGTCCACTCCGGTAACTGAATCTGTTTCAAGTTCAACTGCTGACAACTGCTAATCCCAGGGCATGATTAAAGAAGTACTGGAATTATTACAAAGGGTAGACCCAAGATCTGTCAATCAGTGTAGATGAAGCAGTTATTAATATGATGGCAACAGCATCTCAGAACTTACTTTTAGTTTTCTTATTTAGTTTTCTGTACTTAATGCAAATCACTTGGTAAATAATTAGTCATTAATCAGTTCTGCCATTTCATTGACAAAACTATTTGATTGACTAAGCAGAAGTGCAAAATCATTTGCTCTGGCCCTGCCAAGACCTTAGGGGTGAGTTAGTCAAATGTTTGACCAAATATAGCAGGCTAATTTTTAAGATGATAATTTTGTATGTCCCTCGAATGACGTTATAAATATCCAGATGACTCTTGGCTGAAAAAAGGTTCCCCACCTTGGCCTAAAGTTTTTACTTCTTAACCAGCTGGGGCACATTCTTAGTATCTCTTTAAAAAAAAATGTACTGGGCCTTAATACTATTTATAAACTATCAAATAAGTTCTATCTCAGACACAGTTATAATCATTTATAAGCAATTCAGATTTTGCAGATATAAGATTCATAATAACAGACTAAGTAACGGTTTGTATTACTTTTCAATAAAAAGTTCCATGAAACAGATGAACTATTCAAAAAATACTAACAAACCATTAGATTTTGAACCATCTCAACCCACATCATTTGCACACAACCTCTGACCTTTAAGCCCCAGGTTGAACTACCTATTTCAAGAGGCCTCCCGTGCCTCATACCCTCAGTCTGATCTGCTCTCCCAGTGAGCTCGTCATATTCCTGTGTGTACACGCCCCATCACTCACAAAGACCGTCTGTATTCTACGCAACTCCTACCTTCCAGTCCATAAACATGGCAGCTATCCGAAACACAGCGAGGCTTTCCATTAAAACAACTCCAATAATCTTGTTAGTGGATCCTGCTAAACACATTCCAGGAAGCCTGCACTTAGAATCATACCATTTTGAAGCTAGAAAGGTCCTTTTAAGCCATTCAGAAACACCCCTCATATTTGAAATGAGGAAACTGGGTTCTGGAGAATAAGTGACTTGTTCAACTTTGGTGACAGAATTAGGACAATCCAAGTCCCTG